GATGGCGTGGCCTGGGCCGTGTCTCTTCCCTTTCCAGGGCCTCACTTCTTCGTCTGTAAAGTGGGGACAGCTGCCTCTCAGGGCTGTGGGGAGACACTGGGGGTGCTGACTGGAAAGCAGAGGGAGTGACCCAAAGTGTACTGACCGCCTGGGGGAGCAGTGGGGGCCTGGGGGAGCAGTGGGCGCTGGGGAGACTGCAGGGGCCGCCGGAAGCCCACCGAAGGGGCGGGGGCGGGGTTTCGGGCCCCATCCAGCGCCCCCACCCTTCCAGCCCTGTGCTGGGAGACTGGTGGTCCTGGGGAATCAAGCCAGTGAGGAGAGCAGATGTGGGCTCTGTCTCAGTGGAGCTCGCAGCAGCCAGGTGACCTGGAAGGTTCTTCCCAGCCCAAGTTTGAACCATCTGTGGTCAGCAGAATAACAGCCCCCTGAAATGTCCATGTCTTAATCCCCTGTGACCCTACGTGGTAAAAAAGACTTTGCAGATGTGATTAAATTGAGGCGCTCGAGATGGGGGATTACCCTGGATTATCTGGGGGCCCCAATGTGGTCATAAGGATCCTGAGAGGTGGAAGTGGGAGGTCAGAGAAAGAGGTGTGGTGATGGAAGCAGGGTCAGAGATGCAGGGCTGCGGGCTTTGAAGGTGGACGAAGCGGCCACCAGTGAAGGAATGTGGGTGGCCTGTAGAAGTAGAAAAGGCAAAGCAATGGATTCGTTCCTAGAGCTTCCAGAAAGAACGCAGCCTGTGCTGACACCTTGGCTTTAGCCCAGTGAGCCCCAAGTCAAATTTCTGACCTACAGGAGATAATACCTTTGTGTTATTTGAAGGCACTAAGCTTGTGGTAACTTGTTAACAGCAGCAATAGGAAACGAACACAGCATCTATCCCAAGCATACTTGTGGGAGAAGAGCCGATTTAAGACCTGGAGCTGACAAGTCTGACTTGCGGTGTCTCATCAATCTTGCTGTAAGCAGGGTCCCAGGCGGCCTGTGGTAAACTTAGCTGGGGACTCAGATGCTTCACACAAGTCAGTTGGCCAGGTAATTGAAATTTATCCCTCCAACCCTCAAATCCAAACATTTAAATTGATTTTCATGGGAATCTAAAATCAGTTACATATTTGAGGCCTCTTTAAACATAACTGTACCTGTTCTTGGCCTGTGCTCAGTGACTGGGGGTAGCTGGAAACAGCAATTACTGGGTGCAACTGAGACCCCAAGAGTGGGGCAGAGCCACCTGGCCATGAATGGCCCCAGGCCACGGTGCTGCAGAGCCCTGTCCCTTCAGGGGAGCCTCTGAGAGCCCCAGGCCAGCAGCCAGTGCCGTAATGAGGGAGGGACGCTGCCGGAGTTCAGTCAGCGCTTGGGTTAGTGTTTCAAAACCTGGAACCCCGTAGCTAAAATGCTAGCCCTTGGGGAAACAAAAGCAGGCAGGTTCCCGGAGAGGAACTGAGAGGCTCAAATGTGAGTAAAGTGTCCCATACATTTTGTATGAAGCTCTGATTTTTGCTTACATCCTGGTTCCTGGCTGTGTTAAGAGGTGAGACTGCTAATTAAACGACTTGCAGACATCTAAGGGACTTGTAACCTCTGCAGTCTGGGCGCAAAATATTTCTGAAATAGTTCTGGGTCAAATGGAAAGCACATAAAACCTAAATTCTCCATCTCCATTTGGGGAAGAGATACTGGGGTGAGCAGCCTGCAGTGAGGAGGTAGGTCACTTACCCTCTCTGAGACACGGAAGGGGCTTTCACCCTGGGCCTGCAGGACAAGTCTGTTGCTGAGGTGTGGTCACCACCGAGAGTGGCGAGGATGGGTGGGTGCTCACGGAGCCTCTCCGGGCTGGCAAGAGCTGTCCTGCACCCACTCGCTTGCGGAGGGGGAAGGGAGTCCTTTCTCTCAGTCCTGTCTGACCCACCCTAAAAACCAGCTCCAGCCACACAGGAGATAATCGGCACCTCAGGGCCGGAAAACACCTGCCAGGCCATCTCAGCCACCAGGTGACTGCAGCACACGTGCCCTGCTCCGATGGAGCCGTGTACCATGACTACAACGGGTTCTGCTCACAGCAGACCATTGTGGGGCACTCGAGCCCCCAGGCTTCTCTCACAACAGTCCCTTGTCTCTGACCTCCATGCTGGCCAGTGAAGCAGTCAGGGGAACCCAGTGTCTGACCCTGCTGTGGGCTCCTCAGTGTCTCGGCGTCCTCGTCTGTTCCTGGGCCACAAAACAAGCTCCTTCCCCTCTGTCTCTTCTACCCCCATGCCCCCAGGACCTAAAACAGGGCTCAAGCGGCCCACCAGCCCCAGGATCCACTGGATGAACTGCCTATGCTCCCTTCCACAGGCTGGCGATGCTGACCCAACTCCGGCTAGGCTGCTCTCTGCACACGGCGGCCGGGCTCTGAACATGATGTCCCCGGTGTGCTCTGACCAGCAGGGCAGAATGGGCATGGTCACCTCCCTCATCTCCATTCCTTGCCTCTATTAACCGAGCCTGGGAGCAGCCAGGCCTCGTGGGGTCTACTAGTTGGGCTTGAAGTCCAGTAGGATCCTAAGTGTGTACTGCGTGGGCTGCTCTCCGAGGGGACGGGTGCTAAGAGTTATGAGCTCTTGAGGGAGGAGCTCACCTATGCTCTAGGGAATGCCTCTCCTGGAAGCTCCTGAGGACAGTGACCTAGTGCCAGGCGTGTGGTCTTGGCCGTCGGCCCTTGTCCCCCTGTTGTAAGTGTTGTCAGGAGACCAGAGGAGGGAGAGGTCTCTTCTGTCTGTGGGGCAGGACAGGTTCTAAGGGGGTGGGGGTGGGGACAGAGAGGTGGGAATGCAGGGGTAGCCAATCAACACCCATCTCCCTGGCCCTTCCTGTGTCTGGCACCGAGTCCCCCGATCTGCTCCCCCATCTCTGCCTCCCAAGCTCGGGGTGAGGGGACCTGTGTCCTCAGTGCTCCCTCCTCACCTCCCAGACCCTGCACCAGGGTCTGGCTCTGAGCCACTCTCTCTGCCAACTCTAATTAGAAAGAGCAAGTACCCACCCACCTGCTTGATGCCAACTCAGCTCAGCCCTCGTCTGCCACCATCCTCTTGCTGGGAACGGTGCCTGGCACCTGGGGGCCCAGTTCCTGGTCCTGCCCCGCTCTGGAGCTCTGGCCTCAGGCAGCAGTGCCCACCTCTCCTGTAAGTGAGGCCTAGGAGCCTGGGCCCTCTTGGGCCTCAGAGCACCAGAAGCTCGTAGGTTCCCATCACCCGCTGCCAGCCACCTCTTCGGAAAGTCCTTAGTACTGACTCAGCCTTTTGTGCGGGGCAGTGGACACACCTGATTGCTGGACCCTCTAAGCCCACCCCTTCGTGGTTTCCAGGCCAAGCCAGACGGCCCAAGTCAACGAGACAGCCTCGTACAGAGAACTTGCAGAGAGCGCGCTTCTAGCCTGAGCTTGTCCCTGTGTAACCAGAGTGAGTCCCCTGGCCTCTCTGGCCTGTAGCGCTCTCGTCTGAGAACAGGGCTATATCTGTCCTGCCCAGCACGGACCAGGGGTTCACAGAGCTGTCGGCCAGCCCACGGCTTCCTCACCGGGGGAGACCTCAAGCCTACTCCCCGGCACTCAAGGCCACATCCCTCCCTCAGCCCCACTCAGACTCCTCCCTAGATGCCTGGGCTCCTTTGAGGTCCCTACGAGGACCACAAAACTGAGTGACCTCTCTGGGACCTTTAGGCTCTGACCTCCACGGTCCTGTGACGCTGACACTTAAGATGGCCCACGTGGCCATGACCTCTGGGTTAAGCTTAGCTGTGCAGGGTAACTTACGTGTGACCTTGGGCAAGCCAGGGCACCCCAGTGAGTCTCAGTTTCCTCCTCCGAGATGTGAGAAATGCACCACCTGACCTCACAGCTCCCAAGGCTGGTGTGACCTAACAGGAGTGCCACAAAGAAGGTCGTGACAATCCCAGGTGACCCGACAGCTGTGCTCCAGAGGCCTGACAGCTAGTGCCACCCAGGGGCCAGCGACCCCAGAACTGGCACTGACTGAGGGCCAGAGGAACGAATGAATGTGGAGACAGATGGCTCTTCTGTTCTGCAGGCCGAGCTCGGTTGCAGAGCAGTTCTTTTCTCCGTTTTCCTCACCCTGCCCGGGATCAGCTACACCAGCAGGCCTCCAGCCGCCCAGAGCGGCCCCAGGTGTTTCTGGGCAAGCTTCCCTAGAGTCTGCATCCAGCCCAGGGCAGGGCTCAAGAGCGCAGCTGACATCACATGGACCCCCGAGGGGGGCGGGGGCCCAAGTGGGGCGGGCTGGGGAAAAGTGGGCTTGGGCTGGGGTCATTCACGGACTGGGGAGCCTTGGGGCCAGAAGGGGCTGCCAGGTGACCCTGCCCGGTCCTCCCCTCTCTGGGTAGCAGATTTCCCAACCATAAAGCAAGCAGGGTGGACTGGACACCCCTGAGGCCCTGCTGCCCCGCATCTAGATGTAGTTCTTTTCCCCCTGCACATGGCTCCTCTCTGGCGAGGAGACAGATAAGGACGTGCTGCCTGAACCCCTGTTCTACACTAACACCCACTTTGCTTCTGCGTCTCAGCGTTGCTTTGCTGACCCTGCAACCCTAACTGCACATGTGGGCATTACTGAGAGTAGAGGGGGTTTACAGAGCACATGTCCTTACACGCAGAAGCCACTAGACACTGCCTCTGGGTTCTTTGCTACAAACACACAGAGAAATACATGTATTCGATGAAGGGTAAAAACCTTAAAAAGGAAAAAGTGAGTTCACATCTGGAGCAGAGCCCCTCACACTCACCCACGGCACGCACGATCACACACACGTGGGCACACCACACAGATAAACAGCCCCCACACACGCTCACCCCACACGCCAGCACAGCTCTCACAGCCTGACATACAAGTACGCATACAGACACCCCACACGCCAGCACATACCACACACACACACACACACACACACACACGAACAAAGGTGCAAGTACAACAAAGGAAGTGCAAGAAAAGTGTTACCCATGAGTAGCCGCCGTTTCCCCCGCTTGTCCACATCAGCTACTGACGTGGCATTGCACTGAGAGCGCTCAATTGCAGCCTCATCCTTTTCTAAAACACAAGTAAGGGACAAACACGGAGCCGGTGGTTAATGAGAGCCCACTTCCCGCGGCCCAAGACAGTCAGCCTCTTGGCGTGGCGCACACAAAGCCAACATAGCACGCCGGGCCAGCGCGGCGTCCTCGCCAAGGGGCTAATCCCAGGAACCTCCAGATGGCGTGTTCAGGGCAGAGCGAAGAGGCGGCAGAGCGGGGGAGGGGGGCAGAAGAGGGATATGACCACAAGAGGACACGGGGGCGGGGGGACACAGGGCCCATCTGCAAACAAACACAGGAGGAGGCTGAGGTCAGAAGAGACAGGACCCGCGTGCTGAGGGCCGGAGAGGTGGACAGCATCCCCGCGGAGCTCGCGAAGACCCAGGCAGCTACAGACACCCCGGCTCAGGGCTGAAGAGGCAGGCACAGGACAAGGCCCAGGACAAGGGGGGGACAGGACCCGCGAGGCCCGGTGATGGATGCGCCTGGACAGCAGACGCCCTGTCTCAAGGGCGTGAAAATGTGTCCAACACTCATGCAGAACTAAGAACAAAACATACGGAGGGACAAACACGCATACACTCAACAGTGGATCCAACCGAATAGACACAGAGAAACCAGGGGGTCGATTTGGGCAGTGCTGGTTGCCTGCTTGTCTATGGAGGACTGGAGCAAGACACTCAAGTGCTCGACGAGAGGCTGCAAAGAGGGGCGGCCGTTTTAGGAGCATGCACAGAGAGACAGCCGGCCGGGCGGCCGGGAGCTGCCGGCATGTCCCCCGTAGAGGAGCACGTGAGGTTAGCTGGCTCGCGTTTCTTTGCTCAGTGGGAGATGTGTGGGGACATTCGCTCCCGGGGGAGCCCGGGGAGCAGTGAGCAAAGGCAGATGAAAGGTTCTCTGGGCCAGCAGGGAGTAACGGCCCAGGGCCCAGGAGCTGGGTCTGGGAAAGGATTTCTAAGGAGAGGGGAGGGGAAGGGGCAGGGTGAGGGAAGCTATGTTAGACAGCAGATCCAAGCAGGGACCTTCACGTGCAGCAGACACTAAAGGATAAAAAAGTAAGAGAGGATGAGCCAGGTGCACAAAGACAAGAAGTGTTAGACGAGGCTGGGCGTGTGTCTGGCCGGCCGCTGTTTGCGCTGGTCCAGGGGCTGGAGGAGGCAGCTCCACTGCAGACGCAAACGCTGTGGGAGACCCCAGCAGACGAGACAGGAAGGGGGCCGGCGGGCCGGGAGAGCCCCCGGGGTCAGTGGAGACAGGCAGAGAGGTGGGAGAGGGAGTTCTAGATGGGATCAGGCTGCAATAGAGACACTGGTCTGAGAACGGGTTCTGCTTTGATTTTTTTTTTTTTTTTTTTTTTGGTTCTTTGGTTTGGTTTGGCTTTTGGCTCTGAAAATCATTAACGAACGTCAGTTGTCAGACAAGACAGGCAATCAGGGACCATCACCAGAAAAGCAGGAGGAATGAGATAAAATGAAACCCAAAATGGCTGTCTGAGAGGAGAGACCACACAGAGGAAGGGAGAACCACGCAGGCAGCACCTGGGACGACAGCCCGGGACTGGGACGCGACCGCTGCTGCCCGGCCCGGCCCCTCCGCCCGACTCCCCCGGGGCACAAGGGAGCAGAGCCATGGGGGACAGAAGGTGACAGCAGACTCCAGGCTTCATGGCTTTGCTTGCTTGCCAACCCTTTTCTGTTACTTGAAAGTCCCTCAAGAAATATCTTCTGAGTTGATAGTAAAAAAACAGGGCATTTTTACAAAAAATGAATATGATAGCTGACTTGCGGGGGGTGCTGAACTTTGCCAGTGTTGAAGAGAAAGAGGAGGGTGAACTCTGGGCACCAACTTTGAAATTCCTCTTTTTCTCAGTTAAAAAATAGGCTGTTAGTTTTGAGTGGGGAAAGAACTTACTAGTGATTATAACTTGAGATAATCACAAATACTCAAGCTTCCCCTTGGAACTAAGGACCAGGAGGACGGAGGTGACAGAGACTGAAACTGACACTCTTGCAACAGGTGAGGTGACACCCGAGGGGTGTCAGGAGGGGGCACCCGAGAAGAAGGGGCTCTAGGTGGGAGAGGAGGTCCGGCGAGAGGCCCCGTAGCTCGGGAGTGGAGAGCAGTTAAAGACACCCAGACCTGACCCGGGATTCACACCAGCCCTCTCCCCTGGTGTTCTAGACAACCAAGACTGAAAGCAGTTTTCTGAGGAAACCTCTTGGTTTTCCAGACGCTGTGGGCAGCTCATACCACCAAGGAGGTGGTGATGCAGGCTGGCCGAGTCTCCGGTGTGTCTCCACGTTAGGGGAGGAAACCCCTGTGCTTCAGGAACAGAAGCTGCCCTCCAAAGGCGCACACACCACCCTCCTCCCCACAGATCACCTGCCTGGAACCACCTGCACGCGGAGGATGAGGCCCCTCAGAAAACCCGCAGTGACACAAAGCAGAGGTGCTTGGTCTGGGTGGATGGGCGACCCTGGGAAGTGTTCACAGAAAGCTCCCCTCAGGGTCGCCCGCCAGCCCCATCAGTGTCGTGGGGCGCTCCCTTTATTTTTCCCCCAAGCTTCCTTCTTGGAAAGCAGGATGCAGTGGGGTGTGGCCACTTTCGGGCCACACGGGCACCCCGGGGGGCAGGGTGGTGCACAGTGCTGGTGCTTGGCAAAAGCGCTTACTCACCGATGCATGTCCGACCGTCTGAGTGCAGGGCATACTTCTGGTGGCAGCCGCACATGGGGCCTGTGTCCGTGTCCTCACAGCTGTGCTGGCAGCCTCCGTTTCCATAGTTACAGGTTACTAGTTAGGCCCAAAGTGTACATACGTGTATGTAAACAGAATGACAACAAAAACGATTAGTTTATCGCCGCTGGTTGTTTCTTTAAGGGATGGGGGAGGAAAGTGGGGACGTGAGACAGTCAGCGCAGAGGCACACACTTCCCTGGACATCAGCCCCTCTGGGGTCTTGGGTGGAATCGCTCACTCCCTAGAGGCGAACTGGGGTGGGACAGAGAATGGACTTTGGGTCGTCTGGGCTTCGAACAGAGCTGGCACACAGCTGATGCACTCAGATGGTGTTAGTTGAAGAAAGGGATAAGCTAGACAATTTTATCCTTCCTAGGTTGCAAAAGACACTTTACAATAGCCTGTCCCGATGGGGCAAATGTCTGTGAATACCAGGCATACTCTTCAAGGCGGTGGGAGGGGGCAGGCCCATGTGAGGGGCGGTGCTCATTTCCTTAGCTCTCGTAGACCTTTCTTTCTTTTGCTTACGTCTTGGGGCACGTGGAAGGATGTCCGCATGGATGCCTATTCCCTCCAAGTCCCAGCAGCCACCTCAATCTCTATCCACTCTAAGCCCTAATCCTCCCAAGGGAATGTCCAAACAGACAGAACATATGCAAATTAATGTCATCTCAGATGCAGGTTTGAAAATGACCTTTTATTTAAACGTGTTACGTAGTGCGCAGGGCCTATGGCCTGGAGGAGCTGCTGCCCTTCAGCCCAGGATCTTAGAATGTTTCACAGCATCAGCAACCCGGGTCGCTGAAAAGGGGGCTGAACAAGCAGGGAAAAGGAGAAATTCAAGCTGATTGAAAAGAATACACATTGTTCTCTCTTCCCAGGGTGAGGGATATCGCAAAAGGAGATCCAAGGTCTCCATGGCAGGGCTTCTTGCTGCCCCTGCTTTACTCCGCTGTAAGATGACAGGGTGCCCGTCATCTGTGTGCAAATGGTACGCCGGGGCCTTGAGGACAGGGTGTCTTCCTGGAGACCTTACCCATTTGTCCAGAATTCTATCTACACTCTGAATTTACCTGAAAACCCTAATGATGATCAGGTATGCAGAAGTGAGTCTCAGACCAACCACAGTCAGAGGGGCAGAAAACTCCGAACTGGCAGAGCCTGAATGATGTTTTATCAGGTGACCCGTGAGCAGCGCTGGGGCCAGAGGGAGGTCACGTGGTGGCAACTCCCCAGTGAAGGATTCCAGGTGTTTCAGAGCTGAGTTCTGCAGCTGTGTTTCCCGGGTACTCCTCCTTCCACCCAGAGAACAGCACAGAGGCTCTGGGGTTTCCAGCCTGAGCGACGCTGGCCCTGCCGACCTGGCCACACGCAGTCTCCCTGCCAGGTGAGGAGGGCGCGAGGAGAATGGGTCCTACTCACTGTCCCAGATACTGTCCTCAGCGACCAGCGGCTGGCGGGCTGCCTCTTCCACAGGGAGCTCATGACCATCCGAAGGAGGGACCCAGCTTCCGGGGCGACATTTCAAGGACATGCAGAACTGCTTCAGGAAACAGCTGGGGTTTTGCCACCAAGCCCTCTGGCCCCTCTGTGCGGGAGTGTCTCTTCTCCCAGCATTTCTGGGTGCCCGGCAGCCTGGAGTCAGGGTCTCTCATCTCTCTGCACAGGAGGAGCCTCAGGGAAGCCAAGGTCCCGGGGGGCTGCCGCTGAGCACGGATCTCAGGTGAGGGGAGAGCCCCACCTTGGGCTGAACATCATGTGCCTTTCCGGACTGAGAAATGCCCCATTCAGGGTGGGCAGGGGTGGACCAGTGAGGGGACAGTTCTTTCCAGGCTCTGGGCTCCAGGAGATTGACGGCACCCTGCAAGTGGCTCTACGGAGGACACGGGCCTGTCTGAGGCAACCGGAGCGAGGGCCACTTTCTCGCTCCCTCTCTGCAGGCCCGCGTGCATCTCCCAGACCACACGGGCCGAGCTGTGAGCACGTAGAGAGCCTACAGCACGTACACGGAAGTAAATACTGGAGCCCTGAGCTCCGGAAAGACCCAGAGAAGGATGGAGAAAACCTCCTCTGGCCCTGGAGTGAGTCCTGGGCTCTGGAGGGAGGAAAATTTGGGCAGAGTCCCCTGTGGTCCCGCTTGTTCACAGCGGCTGCCTAGGCCAGGCCTCAGCCCCCGACCCAACTCCAGATCTAGAATTTCCTGGGCCTCAAGTGAGCTCAAGGGCTAGAGGGAAGTCTCAGAGCTAACTTTACGCTAATCCACATTAACCACACAGAAGAAAACCAAAGCTGATGGGGTGGACAGCCAGGGGTGCCGTCCCTCGGCAGGAGGGCTGCAGGGCAGTCACCCACTCCTGGGCTCCAGGGTGGGTACTGGACTCTCCACACACCTTGGCAACACCCAGCCACTGAGCAGAGAGGGTGGGACTCTATCTGCTTTACCAAAAGTTCGGGGCGCGGGCGTAGCTCTTCTCTGTCCCGGTGGGGCGGGGGAGTCTTGGCCGTGCACAGAGCTCTCCTTATCCCTGACCTCTCAGACCAGGCTGGTCCCTCAGGAGATGCTCTCTGAGCAAACCGTCCCCTTGTAGCACTTGTAGCACTCGCCCCACACGGAATCATAGGGTTAGGTAGCCTGTGAGTCAGTCCCAGCCACTTCCTGGGGCCCACGGCTCTCTCTCGGGCACCTAGCTTAGGGCTTGGCCAGGGTGGGCGTCAGCCAGGCTTGCGGACTGAAGGAATGCGCTTTCCTCCTGGCCGAGCCTGTCAACAAGCCTGCCCACGCCACACATGCTGGTCCCTGGCCTGTGTCCTGAGGAAGCTCAGATTACCCCACGGGGAGGACTGGGAAGCTGGAGTTATTCCTTCTCTGTTCAGAAGGTTGCCAGGTGGCAGGAGGTTTCTCTGCACCTAAAGGGATCCATCTGGTGTAGAGGACAGGAGGGCCTGGGTTAGAACCGGGCATTTCCCCGTCAACAGCGTCCCTGATTGGTCCTCCCCTTGGTGACAGCGTACCTATTGATCACTGCGATCCCGCAGGAATGACTAGAAGAGGAAGGCTGGTCCACATCTGGGACCAACCTGGGCAGAAGGAAGTGTCTTCACCTTGGGGAACGGATGAATCAGGCGTGGGGGCTGGAGCACGAGCTCCCTTGGTGACAGGGACTATGTCTGAGGCATGTGGGTCCCCGAGATCTCGATGACTGAGGAGAGTGGAGGAGAACCGGAAGAGTCACGATGACTAAGGACGACGGGCTGGCAAAGGCCAGCTGTCTTCTCCACAGAATGAAGAATGGAAAGAAAGCCCATTTTCTTTAGGAGAGCTGGTCAGCGTCTGTGTCCTGGTTCAGTGGCCAGCCTGGGAGTTGGACTCAGACTCCTTCATACCATTTTTCTGCAGCAGAAGGTGGGCCTGGTATGAAGTGCTTGTCTCTGGCCAGAGACGGGCAGCAGTCACACCAGCCACCCTCCACTCTTTTCAGACACACAGCAAACATCACATCAACCTGGGCATCCTGGCTGCCCGGCGAGCAGAGGCCACATCCTGCCACTTCCCATGCACTGTTGGGAGGATGCACCGCGTTTGAAGCTTTTGAGGACTGAGTGTGTTCAGCCACCATCTCACTTCGTTTGCTGGCTCCCATTCCTACTGGGGAGTGCCGAGTGACCACAATTAAGAGGCTGGATTACACCTGCGTCCTGCAGGCTGACCTCCAAGCTGGTCCTGAAATGGCACCTTTGACCAGAGGCCTCATTCAATCCAGATTTCCCAGGGTATCATCGTCTATAGTGGGCCTTTCAGGGCTAGGCTATGAGCTCTGGTCTTTGATCCTGGAAATAAGCTCAGTGCAGCCCGCGCTGGGAGCCCCCCAGAACTGAGCTCCTTGCCTTCTTTTTTTTTTTTTTTTTTTTAATAAATTTATTTATTTATTTTTTGGCTGCATTGAGTTTTCGTTGCTGAGCGTGGGCTTTTTCTAGTTGCGGTGAGCGTGGTCTACTCTTTGTTGCAGTGCGTGGGCTTCTCATTGCGGTGGCCTCTCCCGTTGCACAGCACGGGCTCTAGAGCACAGGCTCAGTAGTTGTGGCGCGTGGGCTTAATTGCTCTGTGGCATGTGGGATCTTCCCTGACCAGGGCTCGAACCCGTGTCCCCTGCATTGGCAGGCGGATTCTCAACCACTGCGCCACCAGGGAAGTCCCCTCCTTGCCTTCTTTATACCATTCTGTTACCAAGGGCTGCCCTGGCCCACTGCGAACCCACAGTCCCTCCGTTCCTGCTGGAGAGCTCGAGCACAGGGCCAATGGGTCTCTCGGGTTGGGGGCGGGGGGAAGGAGGAGGTCACGATGAGCGCTGGCAGGGCTGTCACACAGGGCCCTGCGTAAGATCCAGCCCAGGTCTGGGGCTGTGTCAGTGGTACTATGCCAGGGAAACCCCAAGCCTGGGGCTTATGGCCCCTGTCCCTCATGCCTCCCAGGCCCCTTCGGGGGGGGGCCCTGCCCTTCTCTCCCCCCCAGAGGACTGAGTGCCCTTCTCAGGCAACGTCCAGCAGACTGGACAGACCCCCCACAAAGCAACGGCAGGAGACGCGTGGGAATGTCTGACCCCTTTGCCTCCATCTACCTACGTGTGCAGTCCTTCTGGTTGTGGGCAAGGTCAAAGCCGGGCCTGCAGTCACAAGCCACCCCACCTTTGGGCGTCTCCCGGCAGATGTGGGCACAGCCATGGTCTTTGTTCATGCAGTTCATACCCTCTGGGAAGAGACAGACAAGAGAGGGGTTGGGGACCAGGGAGAGAGAAAATTTCAGGCTTAGAAGATAACCGATGAAATGTCACAAGCAAACGTAGTGTTCTTGGGCTGCCGTTGGCACGTGCATGACATGCACACGGGGGGTGCACCTAGTCATCCAGATGGCGATCCCCTAGGGGGAAACTGAGGACACGGTGCCCAGGTCTAGAGCAAGGCCTTGCTCGGAGGCCGTAAATGAGCTTGCAGGACCCACGGAGGAAACGCTCCTGACCTGGGTCAGATTACAGGGCATGGGCTGCAGGATGCTTCCCAGGTCAGGGGTTTAGATGGTTTCCCCACGAAAGCAGATGTGGGTGGCATTTAAAACGATGGCGGTGCGCAGCACTTTTCAGTTTGTACGGGGATGCCACAAGCCCCCGTGGGGCAGGTGGAGACTTGCATTTCAGGCTGGGCACACAGAGGAGTGCTGACAGGTCAGGGTGCTGACACACCCCAGCTGGCCTCCAGCTGCAGTGCTGCCCAGGACCCACGGAAGCCCCAGCCTCAGTGCAGAGCCCTGCAGGCCCGGAGCCCCGAGCAGGCGTCCCTCCGCCCTCCGTGCTTATTCCGGGTCCAGGCCACACACGACACTGTGCTCCTAATCGCAGCCTGAGATTCCTGCTGGCTGGCAGATGTTCCTCTTTAAAGCAAATATGTTTGCAAACCTCAGGCACCTTTTCCTCCGAGGCTTCAACTTAAAAGGGCAGTTAGCAATGGACTACCCTGCTGGCTGGGAAACTTCAGAAATGGGAGACTGTGGCAGCGGCTCAGGGCTGGGCCACGCCACTGCCTGCTCTGGCACCCCCATGCTCTAGCTGCAGTGGGCTTTTTTTATCTGGAGCCTTGTCCACGTTGGCCCTGCCCGGCAGGCCCTTGCAGCTCGTCCTCTGGCCGACTCGGAAGCCCTGTCCCTCCCAAGGCCAGCCAGGTTCCCTGTCTTCTCCCCTCCCAGAGGCCTCGCTGAGTGCAGAGCTGGGCTGCCCACGGGCTTTGAGGGTAGGAACTATGGACCATCCACCTCCGGAGGCCTGGCCTCTACACACCACCCAGTCAGCGCCTGCCAAGCATCTTGCCAAAACGCACTCTGAGTGCCCTGGTGTGATCAGGGAGAAGAAGGGTTCCCTGGGGTGGGCCGTTTGGCCCCTCTCCTGAGTCACCCACAGTTTTGGGGAAATCCCCTCCACCCCAGAAGACTTGATCCCCCCTCCCTGTCTGCCTGGAGCGGCTTGGAACCCCCTTCAGTTGACCCCGGTTGATGTTTATCTTCTTGGTGATTTGTGAGGAGTTTCCAGAATTTATGAGGTCAGGGGTCAAGTGAGAGGTTAGAGGTCACAAGTCCATCAAGAGGCTAAGTGCAGATGAAAGGAAGGGCTGCTGTCCGCCCACACCGCCCCGAGACCTCCTTCCCCAGGTGACGCACGGGCCTCCTGTTCGAGGGCAGGACTAACTAACTAATCTCGACCTCGGCCACTTGAAGCATGGGCGGGGGCAACTGAGAACTGACAGATGTTTGAAAACACAAACACCCTGGCAGCTACCATAAAGACTGAAAAAATTCTGAAGTTGAAGAAAACAAAAACAAGTCAAAATGAATGAAGCACGCATTTTGCTCAGCGCACCGACCTCCGGTTTCACCTGATTTTATTATTCTCATTATTCCTTCACCTTGATTTTCTCACTTACGCAAGTCAAATTGTCCAGCTGGAGCCCAAAGAGCTTGTGTTTCTGTGTTACGGCTATAAATATTTACTAGAGATTAAATGGGGAAATTTATCTCTATTAGTTTATTTAAAAACGGAAATTTAAACTTTATTACACATCAACGTTAGTACATCTTTGGTTAAAAACGGTATTTTCTAAAACAAGGAGAGTTGGCTGAGAGGAGGGGTCCTTGCAGAGGAGAAGGGGGGGCTGGGTATGATTCTCGACCATACTGTCTGGAGCCCTGGCCCCTGGTTCTCCAGGCATTTGTCACCCTTGCCTGTACGGGCGGGGAGTCTCTGTCGGCTGGGCCTGCCGCAGACTGGGCGCTCTAGGGGCCAGTCAGCTACTGCTGCGGCTCCGAAAGGTGTGTGCGCTGTAAGGCCCGTGCCACTACGGCCCTCCCTCCCCCGGGAAGCCTTCCTTGGCCCTCAGGCCCGTCAAGGGCCTTTTGGACACCCATGCTCTCCTCGCTGTGGGGTAGCTGTGTGGCTCCCCTCTGCTCTCCAGGTGACTCAGGCTGAGCTCTGGGCCTCCCCAGTGACCTCACCGTCCAGGGCAGGTCTTGCCCAGGAGGGGATGCTCCGGGTCCCCGCAGCAAAGGGAGGGGAAATGGAACAGCCTCGGGTCTGGGTCTCCCAGCTGGGAGCGGCTGCCACCACCAGCCAGGCTCACGTCCGGCTGGACCGTTTCTGCTCGGCCCGAGCGCTTCTGGACGCTCCTGACACAGTGGTCGTGAGAGCATTGCCATCACATTTAAAAATGACCCTAGCAACCACCCCAAAGAAGGCCACAACGGCCTAGCTAGGGGCCGGGGGTACGGCTTCCTCTGTGCGGGTGACTCAGCCCCTTGCCCAGCCGTGGACGCGGGAACTGCGTGACCTTCCCCTCCACTCTGGGGCGGCACTGGCTTCCGTGGGCCACGAGAAGCTCGGCTTCATGGCTGGCAGGACCACAGATGGTCAGGGCTGGACGGCTCCTTGCCATCCATCTTCCAAATGGGGAAAACGGGGCCTCGAGGCAGGGGTGACTGTCCCAGATCATACGGCAGGCCTGGAACCCAGGCCGCTGGGCTCCCAGCCGTGGCTCTCCTGGTCTGGGGGTCACTGAGCGACCCTTGTGGGACTCAGATGACGGGCAGGCAGCATGCATTTGCTGGGGGTGAACAGAATGAGGAAGCCGGCACAGAGCTGGGCTAACAAATGGTACCTGTTACTATCTGTTGCCCTCAGAATGAAGAGCCTATGAAAATTCAAGGCAAATTCAGACTGTGAAGCTCTCCGGGCAGCCCCTCAACGAAGCACAGAACCCCTCGCTCCTCTCTGACCTTCACCCGGCTGCCGCTGAGCACGAGGGCGGAGCCTCAGCTCACCTGCAGAACCATCACGAAGCCTCGTCTCTCCTGCTGGTGTCACCTCTCTAGCCTTTCCAAACAGCGTGGCGTTCCTCGAGCGGCCGTGCTTTATGGCAGCTGGGGTCCCGACCTCTCACCTGCTTGTCCTCTGAGTCCCCGCTCTCCCTCTGCAGCCACCACCGGCCTTCCCACTGGGCTGGACGTATAGCAGAGCGGCCTCGGGCAGGCCTGGCCCACGCCCTCTGCAGCTGCTCCGTGAAAGGTGACGGGCTCTTATGAGCAAGGTCACTCTGGCGGCGTCCTTAGCAAGGGGAGCGCTAAAAGGCTGGCCTACAAGGCCCACGCCTCAGGGCAGCACCGAGCTGAGTGGCTCCCCTTGGCGGCTAACTGATGCCTTCCTTCACTCTCTGGGCGCGGCTCAAGCTCTGTCCTGCAGACCGCGGGTCCTGGCTTTGTCTCTTCCTTCCAGCTGGCGCAACGCTGAGAGCCGGCTCTGCGCTTCTCCCGTGCCTGTCTACCTGCGGCCGCCCTGCCCACCAGCCAGCAAGCTCCGAGAGGCCGTGTCTTGTCCCTGCTGTGTCCCGCGCCCAGAACCCTGGCTGCACACGACAGATGCTCAGGAGGTCTTACTGGGGAGCGGATGCAAAGGCGCCAGAGGGAGAGTTCAGCCCCCAGGCCGGCAGGCCAGCCTGGCCACGTGCTCACCCCATCAAAATGCTCCGAGGAAGGCTGAGCCTCGTGCAGGAGGGGCCGGGGCCAGGGCTCGCCTGCTCGTACCTGAGCCTCTGGTCAGATACCTTCTTCCCTTTTCTTAGCTGACAAATGGGTTGTCAGAACGTGTACCTCTGAGGGTTGCCGTGAGGCTCAAATGAGAAGACCGTGCAATGTGTGTGGCACAGAGCGGGTTCCTAAGGAAGTAGGGCTGTTCCTAGAGCTTTTCTACACTGCTGCTACTTCACTCTGCCTTGTGTAAAATGCGTGTAGCTGCTAAGTTGCGCTCTCCTGCCAACCGTGGGTAATTTGAGGGGAGACCTGACCTTTATTTTTTTCTGTATCCCAAGTACCCAGCACGGGGCCTGCCCCGAGTTAGGGGTCAGCAAACAGTAACTGAAAGAAAGCAAAGAAGAATGGGGGCGAGAAAGAGAGAGAAGGGAGGAAGAAGAGAGAAAGAGGGAGGGAGGGAGAGGAGAGAGAAATGAAGCCTTTCTTACCTCAGAGCAGATTAAACCCATTGCCTATTATTTAGGGGACAAGGCGAGAGGCATAGAGAATTTGGAAAGCACTACTGTGGCATTCGCTGCTGTGTGTTCTGTGAAACACAGCATCCCCGGTCGCCTGACGGAGGGAATTCACAACGCACGTTAAAGGCTCTGAGGAGTCCTGCAGGCACTCGTGGATGGCCCCCTCCCCCTCACTTAACACAGTATCCTGGGGAGCTCTGCCCCAGCCCCTCTGGGAGGCTCTGGGTTACAGGCTTAGAGACCCCAGGGTGGCCCACTTCAGCCCCTCACCTTACAGATGAAGCCACGGTGGCAGAGGCACTGTGGAGGCGCAGGGCAGGGAACACGTGGAGCCTGGCGTGGCTTCCTCTGTGCCTCAGAGCCTCAGGGGTAGAGCGGACGGCTCTCCCTTCTTGTCTGCCCAGAAAGGCGGTCCTGAGCACTGCGAGCTAACAGGGGTAGTACTGGGAGGGCTACTGCTGAGGGCCACGGGGCCAAGTGGAAGTTTGGATGTGAAAGGTGAACCCCGGGGGGGGGGGGCATGCAAGGTGCGTGTTGCCAAGCACTTCTGCTCCAGGAGAATGGTCCTGGGCTCCACACTGGAAGGGGCTGCAGGTCCCCCACCCTGCTGCAGCCCCATCCCAGCTCCTCTGAGGCAGCCCGGCCCATTCCCGCCAGCTCTGGCTGGC